AGGGTGCTTTGTATGTTTGAGAATGCAGGGTGGAGAGCTCTGACACCATGACCAGTAGGCAACAGCTCACATTGGTAATTCGTTAATGTAATAATGTTATTGTGCTGTGGTTTATTTTACTTGTATTTAAACACAGGATCAGTTCTGATGAGAARCACTGAATGTTTGTTTGTACAAACACTTCAGAAAACATAAAAGTGGCATAAATGCCTCTAGAACTTCTTAAACTCAGCTTGAGCTTTGAGACTTCTTCTGTGATAAAGGCATAGCTGCGTGTTCAAAGGACACCTTTGGTCTTAATCACAAGCTCTTCARTGGGATTTTTGTACATGCATTTGTTCAAGAACTTGTTAGTTAAACTAGTCTCAGCCTCCACATTTTCAACTCTGAAAACAGACACTGATGAATTAAGTTAGCAGATTCTCTGAGAATCTCAGGTTTGCTGGATTCCATGTGTTTATTCAACTAGTATTTTCCGAATGAAGCTTGAAGACATAGCAACTTCAGGCAAAAGCCTAGCTGCCTTTTCTTAATCAGTGTTTCCAAAGACCAGTGGGCSGACTTAGAGGCTTTAGAGAACAAAAGGTTTTGTAAATGATAGAGTATCAACAAAAGAGCTCCTTAGAGGTGATTTGTAACCCTTAGCTTGGAGTTGACAACACTCATGTGAAGGGTGATTGCAGATTATGACATCTTTGGGTTAATAGCCCCTGATGTCACCACCATTTTGTTTAACCCTTAGGATTTTAGATAGCCCCTATGCTTTTTTCTCTTTGAAGACCTTTCACAGTGGTAAGAGCAGCTAAAAATAACTTGGACCACACTTGCACTGCAGATCTTCCCTCACCTTGGAACAAGTGATGCCCACTTCTGGGGTTTTATCCAAGCCAGCTATTAACCATCTTCTGCAGACTGGTCCTTATGAAGCCTCAATCCATGCAAAAATGTATGTGCTCATGTGCTTCAGACTTTGGTTTTCAAATAACTGTGCTGTTTATTGGGTTGTATTACTTGCCGTTGTGCTTTCTAAAACAAAGCTCCTCAGAGCTGACCACATATGAAGTGCCAGGAAATGTAAATAATATCTCATTTTGCATCAGCTTTTGCACTTAGGGATTATCGCGGAACATGATGGTTTGGAATAATATGATGGAATATGGTTTGGGTTGGAGGGATTCAAACATCATCCAGTCCCAACCCCTCTGAAATAAGAAGGTACATCTTCAACTAAATCAGGTTTCTGGAAGCCCCATTCAACCTTGATTGTTTTCAGAGATGGGATATCTACCATCTCTCTGGGCAATTTGTGTCACTGTTTCACCATTTACGTGTGCCTAAGTTTTGTGTGAGCTGWGTGTAAGCCTAATAGCCCAGGATAATGCCTTCAGCACTTTCTGTCTAGCTCTTTGCTGCAGTATGTGTTCAGACTAGGCGCTTGCCGAAGTTAGGGAATCAATCAGGAGAGAAGTTTGTTTCCTTATCCCTACCATTTCTTCTCCRCATTAAACATAATTAAAGCAAATACTTGTACAATCATGCCTTACCTGCCATGCCACCTCTGTTGGTGTCAAAAGRTTTAAAAGATATTTTGATGAAGGGTACAAAGATTGTTCTTTGTTTTTGTAGTGTGGTCAGTGTGGTGAAGAAGCTGCTCTGGGAGGACCCATATATGAAGTCATATTCTCTGCAGTCAGGAGGGTCACATGGAAACAGATCATTATCCTAAGCTTTGATGAAAGTCTGCAGTGCTTGTGCAAGAAGATCCCTCAGTGACTATCACTGCTCTGATGGGTAAATCACAGGTAACAATCACAGGCAGTACAACAAGCTGATTTGGAGGTGGTTATGTGCAATCTCAGCCTGCTCAGTCTTGCCTCCTGGGCAGAAAACTACCCTCTGCACTGGTGGGGATGGCAGCACAGCTCAGATCATCAGCAAGGCCCAGTTTGAGTGAGGCTGACTCTGTGTGCACTCTTGTCCTGCAGACTGTCAGGGTTCTCATATTTAGAGCCAATCTGAACTGGCATATTGTACCTGGAACTGAATTTTTTTAATTGTTTTTTTTCCAGTCAACAGCTCTTCCTCTTTGTTTCCCTGTCCCCAGCTGCATGGATCAGGCAGGTAGTTGATGGCAGCACAGTGACTGTCAGCTATCCAACAAGCAATTGAAGACTTTGGTGGCCACACTGCCTCTGGCCCACACAATTACAATGTTTTGCCCGTTCTAGTTATTATAGCTGCTCTCTTGACTCCTGCCATGTGCCCACTATGCTYAAGTCCTCCAGACTTCTCTGTGCAGTCTTCCTTGCATCACTTCCAACGCCATGGAAGTGTGAGGCTAGGGAGCTGTAAATGCTCATTGTCCTTTACCTTTCCTAAAGCTTCTGATAATTATAATATTCATAGAAAAGAGATTACACGCTCTTTCTTGCTAGAAAGCACTTCCTGCACTTTGGATGGTACCACAATTTGGCATGTTGTTACTCATTCTGWATAGTACCTGGAGTCTTTCACAAACATCCACGTGCTCTCAAGTCTTGACAGAAGGCAAGTGTGCTATCTACCACCAGAACTGTCTATTTGTTGTTTCCTGTCCTGTTACAGGAAATTTAATTTAAAACTTGGAATACAAAGGCGTGATATTTGTGCAAAAATCCATTTTCTTATACTCTYGTCCACAGGGCAAATGAGAGTGTAGGCGATGCTCAGTCACCTTATCAGAAACCAGTTGTCTCTCCACGTGTATTGGCRGAAAAGTGAGCCTTTATCGGAAAACTGGAACTCTTGTTGAAAAGAACAATTTGAGCTTTAAGTGTGGATTTCTTCTATTTAGGGCCACATCAAATAATTATTTCTGGAATGCTGTAGAAGTCTAATGGGACCCTGCACTCTATAAGGATCCACAACCTTATTTCATTGTCCTCACAACACTGTCCTTTCTCTGTGAGGTCCTGCCTAGCCATTATGGGCTCAAWATAAAGGCACAGAGGCTCCTGTTCCATAGGGTCTCGGTCTCTTTCCCACTCAGCTGCAGGACAGAAGAATGAAGTGCTCTGCTCCCACTGGTTCAGGACTGCAGCCCTGATGTTCCTGCTGTGTGTGAAGTGTTGCTGGGGCTCTCCTTCCTCACCTGCAGCAGCTGACCTCTATGCAACTCACTGTGATGTGTGCAAATAAGCTTGTCTCTTTATTTATAAGTCACTCTGATGTCCATGTTGCATGTCAGCTTCTAAAACATTCTGAGTCCAACAGCRGTTCTGAGCAGTGCCAGTGACCAGGCACCAGACTTGGCAGCTCTCTGCTTGTTAATCCACCCAGATCCAGGCATGCATTGGCGAGGGAAGAGGATAACCAGAATATCACAACTATATCTGGATTGCAAAGGTGAGCTTTCAGTCTGTGACAAAGCCTGCCTTACCAAACAAGACAGGGATCTCAGAGGATGCTGAGAGCCTCATCCCTGCTGTCTCCTTCTGTTCTTTACATGTGCTGTTCTTGTTCCCATCTGCCAAGGAAGCACTTGGGGAGGGCTGCCAGCTGCCTGCTCAGGTRGTACCAAACAGCTGCAGTCATTAACTCCTCCTGTAACTGAACATGCCACCAACCTAAGAGATGGATGGGCAGACCTGCCTTAGGAGAGGCCTTGCTCTTGTTCATGTGGCATGAAACAGTTTTAAAATGAAAACTTTAACTCCTGAACCCAGGACTAGATTAAGAATAAGAAATTGTGTCAATGTCAAAACCTTTCCTGCTTAGTTAATCCAGCTCATCCTTGCTTTTCCCAACATGTATTTAAAGGCTTTATTCCCTTGTCATATGGTGTCTTACATAAAGGAGGCCTTGTTTAATAGTGCTAAAGCAAAGGTCAAACAAGCAGGTATTTTATATTTGTAGTCCCTCAAAGACCTAACAATTGTACTCCATATAAGACCAGTGGAACCACAGACAATATGCTGACAAAGAAGTCAGCAACAGTGAAACCATTATCAAGAGCTTGGGGAGGGATAAATTTGTAAAGTCCCCAATGTGGCTAAGATGCACAATAATGAGACTGAATGCATTAGAAGCTGGTGCAAAACATACCCTGCTTGTGTTACTGTGCTGCCTCTTCTCCGCTCTTAACCATGGCTTTATTGGTGGTTGCACCTTGTCTTTCAGGTTGTAGAAGCCCTCGCAACAGATGGAAGTTTCCTTCAGCATGTACCTGTGTATTCTGCCTGGTGATGCTGCTGCCCAAAGCAAACAATGAAAGATGAAACAAAAGTGGCSTGAGAATGGAGGTGGTACAGTCCTTGACCTGCAGTCCTTAGGAAGGAGCGGAACATCCTGGGAGCTGGAAACACTAAGGTAAGTGCTGTGCAAGGCACAGTGGAAGTTCATGCTATGTACCGGGTGTTTTCCCTGTGTGGGATATGGCAAAACCACTACTGTTGACATGTACAAGCTGAACTTTGCACAGAAAAGTGCAAGTGGTCTGCAAAATGGGGAGTGTAAGTCTGGGACAGTGCAAAAATCACCAAAGGATTTTAATTCCTACATGTCAAATTCTTTCYTTTCTCACACTATTGCATTGTAAAATACAGAGACAATTGTGGATACCCAATCCCTACAGAGGTCAAGGATGGCTGGATAAGGCTTTGAGCAACCTGGTCTAGTGAAAGATGTCCCYCCCCATGACAGAGGGGTTGAAATAAGATGATCTCCTTCCAACCCAAACCATTMTGTGATTCTATGAAATGTCTCATCCAGGCCAATGTGCGCCTGTATGAAGAGGCAGTAGTTACGCAAACGACTTGTGTGCAGGTGCAGTGGCATTTACATGAGGCCAACCCCAGCCCCCAAAGTCTATGAGCTTTGTAGGGTGCTGCCACTGCACATAAATAAAGACATGGCACTTAGCTGAAATGCCATGCTGAGTGAAGTGACCAGAGGGTGCAGTGAGATATGCTGTATTCAGGGGATTTTGACTGTGCCAGAGCCATCTTCAACTACACGAATTTGAGTAGATTACCAAGAGCTCATCCATCGAGTCTCCAGCAGCAGCCAGATGCTTAAGTCTATGGTGGAAAAAGCACGACAGCTAATCGCAGTCAGAGTAAGGGCATTTGTGCCTGCTTCTGGTAACAGTGTTGGAATCACACTGCCCATTTGCCGCGGGACGAGCTGGACTGGATGGGGCTGGTACCGAGTGGGCGGGACGACCCCCCCCGCCCTGCCCGACGTTCTGGTCACGTCCCCCTCCTTACCCAGGACAAGGTGTGGGAGGCTCCGGTCATCCAGTCGGGCTGGGCGACTCCTGGTCCCGCCTCCCACCCCGGTCTGATGCTGGGGAGGAGCGCATTCCCGGGACTATATCCACCGGTGAATGGTGGGGGAGCGGTTCGTTTCAGGTCGCTCCCGGGAATGATGGATATGGAGGCGAACGTTGACCCGTCGGAGCTACATCCGCTAGGGGAGTATGACTTCGAGAAGAACTTCAATCAGCTGGCAGCCAGGGAATGGATAGAGGAGAATTGGTGAGAGGAGAGGAGAGGGAGAGGGAGAGGAGAGGGAGAGGAGGTTGCTGACCCGGTGCATGCTGGGCCCTGGGTAGGCTTGTCGGGTTCTGCTGCTTTTAGCAGAACAGGTATGAGTTTCTTCAGTCCCGAGGAGGAGAAGCCGGGGGGTCTCTGGCTGCATACCTGAGGGTGTGGAGGAAGGGCTACAGCAGTGCATGCAGCAGAGCAAACAGTCGTCCAGGTGGTGCTACAGCTTGTAGGGAGAAGGTGAGGTGGCAAGGGGGCAAAGAGCGGCCAGGATGGCCACTGCGGCCCTTGCACTGGCAAATAGGGCACTCAGAGCTGCCATGCTGCACTAAAGCCTTGGAAAGGTGTGGGATRTATCACAAGGCACTTGAGGCTCTAGCTTGCATGAAGCTGGCCYTTTTAGACCTCCTATACAGGCATCCTCTGCCTGTAGAGTCTTGTATGTAAAGGGATAAAATGCATTGATATGTTTGCTTTGGATCCTGCTCACAGGCTGGCAGAACCTGCCTCATCCCATCAAGGTCTTTTGGAAAGCTCCATGATGTAACAGTTTGTTTTCTGCAATTGCTATCTTTGCTCACTGTCAGGGCAGGATTCTTGTAGCCAAACACTCCCTTAACAGGAGAAYGGGACATCTTTTGTGTCTTGGTGAGAATATTTTGCTAGGGCTACAGAAGTCTGCCTAAAAATAGGTCACTTTGGGTTTTTTCCTGACTGTTCCCTCTTCTCTACTTGCAGGCAAAAGACTTTTCTTTTTTCTTCTATTTATTTGATTGTGATCTTTGGAATCCAGCATTTCATGAAGGGACAGAGACCCTTCAACCTGCGTTTACCCCTGACTCTGTGGTCCTTCAGCCTAACCTTGTTCAGGTAAGAGCTTTTGCTAAATCTGGAAACAGCTGTAGACCTTCCCTCAGAACCCGACTGATGGAAAGTTCTCGATATCCACTGYATCACTAGGGAAATAATGTTTTCCTGTTGAAGGCCCTTTCCAAATAGGGGAAGTGACTTGCCTATACAAGTCATTTATTTCTCACCAGAAATACTCGAGCAAGTCAAGTGAGTTGCAAAAGGATGGCTGGAGAGAGTGCTTGAAAATCATTATGGGTAGATTTGAATGTGAAGCCTGCAAGAGCAGAGATGTTCCCTCATTCAAAGGATGCCTGCCAATTGCAAGTTTGATTTGGGGTCTATTACTCTTTAAAATTTAGAATTTCCCCCCACCCATACACACATTTCTCTAATCCCATGGYGTAGGAGGTGGGGGAAATTCTGCTCCACTCACAGAAGCACAAAGGATCAATGTAGATGTTTTCAAGCTGTCCAGAGTTATAGTACAGGTTCCCTGCAGTGGCCATGGGAATGTTTCAGCCCATGCTCTGTATTTAAATGAGCAGATGCCAATTGTCAAAAACTCCTCTCACCTCCACAACTTTTTCTGTCTGGTGGGACAGAGGAAAACTAGACTACTGCCTTTGTAACTCCAGTTGGCTTTGATCAGGTCCAAGGGACATTGGTTTTCCTTTGTCAGGGCAGCTATGGCAGTGGTCTGTAAAGTCATAAGTTTTGGGAGAGGGGAGGTCAGGGGATGACTGTCCATGCTCTGTTCAGAGACAAGCTTGTGCAAATGGAACATACAGGTTGATAACAAAATAAAGAGGGGTATTTCTTCTTAYAAGCTGTGGGAGTTGCCTGCCACAGAAGGTTGTAAATGCTCCCTTGGCATGTCCTGTGGGGCCATATCAAGAGTTGGGACATCAGGACACTTGTCCCCCATTTCTTACCAGGCAGGGCAGCTTTTGCTCAAATGCCTCATCAAGCAGTGATAGCAGAGGGTGTAATGAGGGAGCACTATTTGATGCTGCTCTATCTTGCAGAGATAGGTTTYAAACCCTGGCTAAAACATGTTAGGAGGTCTAAGAAGGCAATAGTTTGTTTAAATGTCTCTGAGACTGCCCTGAGCATCAAGATGGAGTTAACTGAATATCCTTGTGTGCAGAGCTGTCAGAGGCTATGGTGAGGCCCTGGGCACAGTGTTCAGCTCCCCTCTGGTTTTCTTGCAGTTTTGTTGCAGCCTGTCGRGTCTGGAAGCTTATGGCCTTCCTTCTCCTTACCAAGGGATTTAAGCAATCTGTGTGTAGTCAATCTTTCTACGTCCACCCTATTTCCAAGCTTTGGATGTATTTATTTACACTGAGCAAGCTCGTTGAACTGGGTGAGTCKGAAACTTCTCCTTATCCTGTGTGTTCATAACTCCTTTGCGTTTACGTGCAGATGTTCTTTCACAGGTCTCTGTCCAAATGTTGCTTGAAGAAGGTTGCTTACCCTTGCATGTGTCACTCATTTTCTTGCTCCTGCTCACCCCAATTGATATGCTTTGCTGTCCATGAGGTTGCAGCCTGATGTTACTGTTCTAGTTTGATCCCCAGGCCAGTGCCTGGACTAGGCAATTCTGCACTGGAATGGCTGTGGTGAGGGGGCAGCAGAGAGGTGGGGAGGGTTGGGTTTTTGCACCCCATTTCCAGCCAAAGAAGTAAAGAAGAGCCGGTCTGAAGTGCTGTGCAGGTAGGTCTGGGTAAGCAAGCCTGGGGCAAAGGGCTCTTGTACTACAAACATATCAGTAGGTAGGGTGCCTAAATGGTCTTTTTTGATTTCAATGATGATTKATTCAGATGATTTCAATGGAGCCTTGGTTATGGTGGGATCAAGCCACATAATTGCTTCATCATTGAAGCTTGCTGGGGCTGTCTTACATGAAAACTTGTGCAACTGCTGTGCTTTCACCGGACTAATGACAGACCTCTCCCCCAAACCCAGGTGACACTCTGTTCATTGTTCTGCGGAAAAAGAAGCTCACCTTCATCCACTGGTACCACCACATATATACGATGATTTTAGCCTGGTGTGGCTATAAGGACATGGCAGTTGGTATGGGCTGGAATGCAGCCGTGAACCTCAGCGTCCATACTATAATGTACTGCTACTACACTCTGACAGCTCTGGGCTTCCGGGTACCCAACTCCTTCGCCATGACAATCACCACTTCACAGATCGTGCAGATAATGGGATTTATAATAATGAACGTCTTTATCTGCTTCTGGAAGGATGATAAGCTCTGCCCATTCAAATGGCCAATGTTTTTAATTTCCTGTGGCTTGTATACCACTTTACTGGCCCTCTTTGTCAACTTCTTCATGAAAACTTATCTGGGTAACACCCGGAAATCAAAGGGGAATTAAAACCAGGGATGGAGGAAGAAATTGGGATGAAAGTGGGGAGAGAGGGAAAGGGGAAATTTTTTCTTCCGTCTGGAGGCCAAGTGCCTGATGGGATGGGTGTGATGGGGCTTAGGAGGAGATCACTGTGGATAACAGCCTTCAGAGTAACTTGCACATTGGCCTTTGGTGTGTCTGCCTTGCAGTGAGTGACATGCCAGAGTGAAGTGCAGGTTGTGGCAGGCTGGTAACAGGAGAAAGGGGAAGAGGTTTGGAGGCTGGAGACCTCAGGCTTGTGGTTCTGCTTTTCCTTCTTTGCATCATTTGTGTTTGCTTTGTGGCTCACTTCCTTCCTGGGAACTGATAGGATCCTGCATGCACCAAGACTTTCCTTGGAAAAAAAGGTAGGGAAACTCCTCCCAAAGCAGCACTTCCCTGTCCATGGTCCCCAGTTTTGTGGGAGGGAGAAGAGCCCAGATCTGCTGCTACTCTGCAGGGCACCCCAAAGAGATGACTGCTGGGAACAGCACTGAAATGGAAAATTCCTGCTGTATTTTAAGGTTATGTAGGGAGGGGCTCTGCCTGGGCTCTCCCTTCTCCTCTGTGATGCAAGGAACTGAAACCCATGAATTTTAATAGCTGTTAGCTGTGGTGTGCCTCTTGTACAATTAAACCATCTATTTAACTTGACTGCCTGCTCTCTCAGACCCTAAAAGCTGAGTAGGATCCAGCTCTGCCCTGCAGAGCATGTCAGGCATTGCCAATGGCCTCAGCCCATGGCCAGTCTCATGGACTGGGGACAGAAGGGTCCCAGAGTCAACTACTCTCAGGGTGCATCTGCCACTGGGTGATGTGTTCAGGTGACTAATAAATGCTGTAATGGATGGATGGATGGATTGATTGACTGATGGATTTCTTTGATGCCTTTTTAATACTTGACCTTTGTACAGAACTGTGAGAGAAGTGCTGATTACTGTGTCTTGATAGGGTGTCTTTCTGAGGGTTAGTGAGGTGTGTGGCAGGCTGTGTTTCTTTGTGCTTACCCTTTCTGCAGTCATCAGCTGGTCCTGCTGCCTGAGCCCCTTTGCTCACCACCAGGGAAGTAGAAGTGAGAGAGAGATGATAAAAAATCCTTACCCCAGCTGCCCTACACTCTCCCTCGGGAATGCACACCATCAGCCAGCCCAGCATCAGCCCCTTAGCTCTGCTGCTCTCTCTGTCGAAAAGAGATAGCAATAAATTTCCCAGACCTAGCCAGGGGAAGACTTCTGTATCACTGCTGCTGTTTGGCAAGTTGTTTGGAATGCTGAGCTGTGGGTGTGAGGAAAATGGTGGTACCTTCTGGGGCCTGGGGAGCTAGTACAAACATTCTCCKTTCCCAGGTCAGTGCTATTTCCCTAAAGCTCCCTAGAAATATCTACTCCTGGTAGTGTGTGAAGGAAAGTCCTTCTTATGTGTGCTGGTGAGCTGAACTACTCAGCAGGCCTGCTTTGCAGGGAATGTATCTTGAGGCTTTGTTTATTTTTGTTAAGTTTCTTTTTGATTTGAGGGCACAGAGAGCAATCGATTACCTCTCGTGTAGGAATCATTGCTGAGGGGAAGCCGTGTCCCCGCTGAAGGCTTCTTCGAGGACCCTTGCACAGCTGGAGCARCTTGGCTTAAGGGGCGGATGAAGGGCTGTGCGGAGGGTGCGRGACGCAGGGCAGCAGCGCTGCCGCTCTTGCACGGCCGGACAGAGGACGYGCTGCACACCGGGGGATTCTGCGGGGCCCGGAGTAGACGGAGCTCAAGGCTGCAAGAGCCGGTGAAGCCGGGCTGGGAGTGGGCGGGAGCGAGGGGCGAGGATTTTCCCTGAGGCTTTATCCGTCCCGCGGGAGAGGGGAGGTTTTCACCTGAGGATTTTTCTGTCCCGCGGGAGAGGGGAGGTTCCTCCCTGAGCCTTCATCCATCCCGCGGGAGGGTAGCGGCTTTTCCCGGCGCCTCCATCGCCCCGGCGGGCGGGAGCGCAGCAGCCCCTGCAGCCCCTGCRGCCCGCCGCTAGGTGGCGCCGCCGCCCGCGCTGAGGGCGCTTCCGCCGGGTCGGGCCGGASCCGCGCTCCCGGCGCCAGCGGGCCCTGAACGGCGACTGGGGCCGAAACTAGAGCCACTTGTCACGGCTGTGGGGCTACCTGAGCCCGGCTTCAGTGTATGCCGCAGGGGCTCGGAGGGTCGCACCCACCCCGCGCCGCGGGGCTCTGTTGGCAGCACGCACGGAGCAAGAGGAGTCGGAACATCCTCCGCTGTGTGAGCGGGACACGAAACGGGCGGTGCTGAGCTGCTCGGCGGCTGAGAGGGAGCACTGACGGCAGCTGCTGAGGGCACCCAACTGCTCGGTGCGCTCTGTCTTCGCCTTCAGACGCAGCTGCGGGGGAGTGAAGAGCACAAGCCGTGCTGGCGATGGGGTCTAAAGTCTGGCCTCGAGTAAGAAAAGTGCAAGGATGAGAGTATTTAAATAAACAGGATTTTTTTCAGGCTCTCTCAGTGTGATGAACCTCACACAAAGCAATCCCAGAATTRGTCATCGTTATCTATGAGAATTCCTGAGGAAATTCCCTCTCTTCAGAATAGGGACTGTGGGCAAAAGCGAGGAACTGGTCACAGGTAAATCCCCTCCTCCAAAAAAAAATCCCCAATAAACCAACAAAAATCACAACACATCAAAATAAGCTGGAACAAATAATCTTSCTACAAGTAAGCCATGAAGATGAACAGGTACTATCTCCATGGACATATCAAGAACAGAATCTGGTCAAAATTACCCTTTCCTCTATGACAAGGTAAGGGCATGGTGAGGAAGAGCCTTGGCTGTCACTCAAGTGGCTTTTAAGGATGCTCTAGATGGGATGATGGGTAGGTACAAAASTCATTGGATAATTATACCCAGACAGTTTTCCACAGTTCACTGTTGAAAGGGAAGGGGTCTGATGAGTGAAATTCAGAGACATCTGTTGTGGGTCTGGTTTTGCTCAGCCCTTCCATTAATGATCTGGATGATGAAGAATGTGCACTTGCTAAATGTCCAGATTGGGAAGTATCCAGTGACAAACTTACTTGCCTAACAGAATAAGCAGGACCSTGCTAAAAATCACATGATTTGGGTTGCAGTACCAAGACACTGCTGGGGAGGTATTGGGGGCTTGTGAGAGAGAAGTCCTGCTTGAGGTCTGTAGGACACATGCTGTGTTTGTGTGGGACCCAGAGAGCATGATGTYGGTGTCCTGGCCCCATGGGGAAGAAGCTGAATGTGGGACACTCAACTGGCTCTGCTGCATCAGGAAGGCAGGTGGCATTTGTCAAACAGGGGACATCTCCCAGAGTGTTCTGCTGCCGACTTGCTCAATCAGTTATTTGCTGTTGGCCCTCTCTGTTTTCTGCAGATTTTAAGTTTTTTYCTGTGGTTATGTCACTTAAGTACCACTGTACTAAGTGCTCTCAGCTAAGAGCTGCTGTGTGTTTTGCTGACTGGTCTGGATGCTACAATGTGCAATACCAATGACTGCAGAAACAGACACTACCATCTTCTCAGTACAGCATGGGAAGGAAAAACTTGAGCCAACTAGCCAGCCTGCAGAGCCCCTGTCCACAGACTTGCATGTACCAGTTACCTCATGTGGGTACTCACTGCATCTGTTCTGCTCAGGGATAGGAGTGGTTTGGAGTGATGTCAATTGAAATGACTGCATGGAAAACCTCAGGCTGAAAAATCAGGACCTAAAGTAGGTCTTGACTTAACCCCACTGGCTCCCAGAGGAGATAATGAGAGCCATGTGCTAGAGTTTGCCTTCTGCTCTGCATACATCTACTGAATCCTACAGAAGTCTGCGGCAGCCAGTCTGGTACTACTCCCCAGAGCCAAACCTTCTCTTCACTGTGGGACAAGTCCTAGTGAGGATCCATTCTTAGCAAAGAACTTGCTTTCTCTCTGCATGCTGACAACAYTGCAGAACATGGGTTATGCCAGATTTGCCTGTCCTATTCTTCCTGGTAGGATAGGTGGTTGTGAAGATATCTTGGGGCTCTTTTTTTTCTTTCTAAAGAGGAAAGCAAAATATTTGAGTTGCACTTTCCCCTTGGAACTTGTGCTTGCTGAAGGGAAAGGTGACTGCACTGGGTAGAGGTGTCCTGCTCCGCTGCTGCATGTGRAGCTTCCTTGGGCCCTTGGAGGGACCTGTTGCCTTTCCTTTGCATTGGCTGGCAGGGCCAACTCTGTTTTACAGCTTTACCAACAGAAACTGAGCAGGCCAGGTTGCTGCATCTGGCTTCTCTCCTGGGGACCACTGCTCTGAGCAGGAGTGCCTTGGGGAATTCCCATGCCCTGGGCTGTGGGAGCCAAAAGGCATTGGCCCCATCCAGCACAGTGGGGAAGTTTGAGCCAGAAGAGGATCAACCATCCTGCTGCAATGGGTGTATGGAGACAGGGAGCAGGGTGGGGACTTGTTTTCCTCTTCCTACTGTGTCTGTGGCCCTTTKTTGTTCTGAGGAGCCAGGTATTTGATTTGTAAGTGCGGAACATAGACTCGTCTTCCAAACCTCAGCCCCTGTTCCAACTGGGAGTGCCTCACGCTGGTGCTCCTAAGGATGCTACACCACACTTGATTTCAGAATCTTCAGATGCAGGTTCATGCTCTCAATAACCACACAAGCAGAAGCTTCAGGATTTGTGCCAACTTTTATTTTATTATCTTTTTTGGAAATGGGATTTGGAGAAGGGAACGGAAGGAGATGTGCAAGGAGGAGCTGATTGTTGCAAAAGGGGATGTTTTGGGTGTACGCTGGCAGTAGTGTCTGACCAAAATGACTGAAGCAGTAAAGCATAACAGGCAGGACACTGCCTTGGTGGATGTGCTTCCTTTACAGGGTTTTTGGTTTTAAGGCCTACTTTGTAGATTCTTTCACATACAAAACAGGAAGGCATCTTTTAATGTCTCTATATGTATTTGTGTATATATAAGATAGATTTATATACACTCMCACATATTTTATATTCTTACAACCCCCAGCTCCTAAAGGCTTCAAGTCCAAAGGGCCATTTTTATATATGCATTATAAAGAGAGATGCTAATTGACTGAGACAAGGCTTCCTTGCTGGCTATATGATAAATAGGTGGACAAGGTATCTTTCATGATAATCTTGGACACATACAGAGAAAATGGGTCAGCAAAGCACCAAATGGCACTCCCCAGGTTGTCCTGTCTCTGGCTATTTCCATCAGGGCTGGTGTGTAGGCTGCCCGTGCTGTCCCAGGAATTTYGGGGGTGCTCACGCCTGTGGGACTTGGAGGGGTAGATTTGAAACATACTTGCTTGTGCTGCCCATGGGTCAGGCACCCTGCATGTTGGGGCTCCTATTTCGCCATGGGGTTTCCAGTAGACTGTTTTGTTTTATATTACCATGGAGGAGRAGGTTTGGTGGGCAGGAGGGGAAAGGATTTTAAAGGGCAAAGACAGTCATAATTCACCATACAATAGACAAATCTTCATAAAGGTTCGTCTGCCTGCTCGTTCTTTTCTCTCTCTCTCCCTCTTATGCTCTCATGTTCACTATCATTCTCTGCAGGATGTACGCTGTTGTAGGGCTAAAGGTCTCCTTTTGTCAGGCTAAGGTCAAGTCCTGGTTGGCAGAGGGCAGCCCTTCATACAGGCCTGTCCACAGCATACTGGCAAGGGCTCAGGTTGGAAGCTGCTGTCTGCACTGCCGGGTAGGTGAAGTTGGCATGCTGCTTGGCCTTCAGCCGCAGGCTGGCCAGGCTGGAGTTGCACGTGTCCCTGTACATGTAGGGGCTGGCTGTTGAGGCGTAAGGACAGGCACTGGATGAGACAGCAGAGTTGAGGCTCGGGCTGTTTAGA